TGGAGAAATGGGAGAGAAAGGAAAAGAGTGAAGCAAACTGTTGAGGGCGGTCAAAAATCCCAAATGAAAGAAGAAAAATTGTGCCTTTCTGAAAAGACCCAAAGTAAATGACACATGTTAGTAAGAAGACAACCGTGAAGGGTGAAGTTGAGGAGAGAGACAGGAGTGGGGAAGGTGACAGAGGATGTGGTGTGCTCGACTAAGATGGATGGTAGGAGGAAGGGCGGCAGAACAGGAAATATGATAAACTTTTAAGTGCCAGTGAGAGAGAGTCCAGCAACGAGAACCTCAGCTAAGACAAACATAAGAAGTAAAACCTTTTCAGAGCACGGCTGAGGGCCGAATGGAACCCACAGCCAATGAGGGCAGGGCTGGAGGATGCGAAGCATGAAGGAGACAAATTAAAAGAGAAGGAGACTCCCTGGGCTGCCATGGCTGTCAAATGGCTTTGACAAGGGAGGCGAAGAGGGACAATGAGGGGCTGATCTGACGGACAAATCCCCCAGCCCCGAGTCACATAGCATTAGAGGGATCTGCTCTGTGGGCCGTGACCATCTCCGCTTTGGGATGCACATGAAGGCACACGCGGCTCTGATGACGCAGGTTCCTTGTCTGTTTGAGATTAGGTTTAAGGTGGAAATGTCTAGGAAGCAGCTATAAAGGCTCAGAAGTCAAAAGTGTATTTCCAAACGTACAGGCGCGAAAGTGGAGGGAGAGGGTCATCTCTGTTCTAACATCAAAGCCTTTGGTGCTTTTCCTCCAAGGGCTGTCCCTTGGTTTTCAGTCATAGCTTGTTTGTTTGTTTGTTTTGATTTTGTCCCAAGCCCTGGTTGAATATAGCTTTGTGGATAGGTATGGAAATCTTGGCCATCGATAGACTAGGTTGGAATCTTAGGTCCACCACTTACTGACCCACTCAGTGGGTCAGTGGTTCAGATGGTAAACAATGTGCCTGCAATGCAGGAGACCCAGGTTTGATCCCAGGGCTGAGAAGATCCCCTGGAGAAGGGAAGGCAACCCACACCCAGTGCAGTATTCTTGCCTGGAGAATTCCCTGGACAGAGGAGTCTGGAGGGCTACAGTCCATGGGGTTGCAAATAGTCAGACATGACTGAGGGACTAACACTTTCACTTTTCCACCACTTACCGGCCTCAGGTTTCTCAAATAGGATGGAGCTGATGTGGGGCCCCGTAGGCTGGCTGTGGGGACCAAATGAAATCAGCTGAGTCATGTTCTCAGCGTGGTGGTGAGGCTGAGCTGGAGGCTGGGGTGTGGATCAAGGCACAGTCCAGTTCCATGTGGTTCTTGGCTGTGAAGTGAGGGAGGAAGAAGCATATGCCATAATACAACCATGGGCTCTTGTTTTCAAAGTCTAACTCTCACAGCATTTAGAGGACTTGTGGAGGAGTTTCCGGAAGGGAGAAGGAGATACATAGGCATAGGGAAAATGTATTAACCCTGCAGGGAGAGAGTGGGGTTCTCTCTACGTCTAGACCAGGGAATTCCTTGAATGTTGGTGAACAGAAACCAGGTCTACGTGCTTGCAATGCAACTGGAGGCATCAAGACCCCAGACAAGTATGCCTGGCTTGTAAGTTTGGAAATGGTTTTGACTTCTGAGACTTTACAGCTGCTTCCTAGACTTTTCTGCCTTAAAGCTAATCTCAAACAGCTCAGTAGAGAGGATGTATTCGTCACCTGCAAAACAATTCTCCCAACACAGTGACTTCAAAGGGCAAGCAATGAGCATAATGTGTGAGTGTAAGAGGAGTGCTCAGATCAGTCAGAAAGGAAATCAGAGCAAACGTACACAGATTCAGTGAGACACAATGGTTACTATGTTTTGTACTTTACGGGTCCTATAAGTTTTGTTGTTTAGTCACTCAGTCATGTCCGACTGCGGCACCATGGTTTGTTGCCCACCAGGCTCCTCTGTCCATGGGATTCTCCAGGCAAGAATACTGGAGTGGGTTGCCGTTTCCTTCTCCAGGGGAATCTTCCCAACCCAGGGATCAAATTTATGTCTCCTACATTGGCAGGTGGATTCTTTACCACTGAGCCACCAGAGAAGCCTGGTGGGATCAGTAAGTATTTGTCTGAATGAATGAAAGAACAAATGAATGACTGGAGGTTTGGTGCAAAAGCAGAAGACAAACAGCTTGAAAAGATTTTTTAAAAAACCAATGAGACATTCATTATATCCCAATTTCTATAGGTCAGAAATTTGAGTATGGCTATAGGATATCACTGGGAGTCTGTGTGGATAGTTAGTCAATCACAGAGGAGGTCTACCCTGTGTCTCATACTGTATCAGATCCTAGACTCATGATGCAGGTTCAAGGGCATTATGGGAAAAGTCCTAAGAATGGCTAGGCTGAAAGGCACATTGACAGTTTTAATGGATGCTGGCAACTTGTCATCCCCAAAAGGATGTACCAGTTGTCATATACAGAATTCACAGTCGTTCCTTATCTTCTCTCTTTTTCCTGGAAAAAAATGCTCAGCGGCTAACTGCTGGGAACAGTGGAGTAGAAGTGATATGAGCCAACGATCATGTTCCATCCAAGTCAATGAAAGGTGAATCATAGACATTATTGTACAGCAAAAGAATAACTATGAGATTAGATTTAGTGAAGCTCAAGGAGGGAGAGTGACTTGTCAAACCATTAATGAAAGTCTGGCTGGGCAGTGTTGAAGAACAGAAAGGAACAAAATTGACTAGAGTCAGAACTCTGAATCCAGTATGGGGAGTTAATTCTAACTCTGAAGCCCAAGCTCATCCAAACATTAGCCTAAACATTCATTTATTCATCCATCCAATGACTCTTTGGTTCACTTTCTACATGTTAGGAGATGTACACCACACTGAGGTTATTACAATAGGCTAGACTAGGGATCAGAACAGTGGCCAGTGGACAGATCTTTTAAATCTTGTAAATACGAAAAAAAAAAAAATCTTGTAAATACGTTTTTTCTTTTTTTTGGCTTTGTGGTGTGGCTTGTGGAATCTTAGTTCCCTGACCAGGGATCGAACCTGGGACCATGGCAGTGAAAGCACTGTCTTTACCACTGGACCACCAGGGAATTCCCAGGTCTTATAAATAAATTTTATTAGAATACAGCTACACTCATATGGGCTTCCTGGATGGCTCAGCAGTAAAGAATCCTCCTGCAATGCAGGAGACACAAAGGACACAGGTTCGATCCCTGGGTCGGGAAGATCCCCTGGAGGAGGAAATGGTCACCCACTCCAGTATTCTTGCCTGAAAAATCCCATGGACAGAGGAACCTGGCAGGCTACAGTCCAAAGGGTTGCAAAGAATCAGACATGACTGAGCAAGTGAGCACACATAGTCACACTCATTAACTAGCAAATTATCCATGAATGTTTTCACACTCTGCCAGTAGAGTTGAGTAGCTGTGACAGAGACTGTATGGTCCACAGAGTCGAAAATATTCACCATTTGCCTCTTGCAGAAAAAGTTTGCCAGTCCCTAGGTTGACAGTCATGGTTGCCATCTAACAGTAAAGATGGACATTCATCCAATAATGTCCGCAGTTCAGTTCAAGGTGTGTAATTATAAACTATGAGTCGTGTTCTGGAAAGTACATGATGCCATGACAGAATGCAGCATGGGACACTTTTTGATAAGAGTGGTCAGGGAATACTTCCTGAGGACATGGGTTTTCTTTAGGGATTTGATGGAGACAGGCAGGAAACAGCCTGCAAAGAATGGGGGAAGAGATTTCGGAACAGAGGGAAGAGGATGTGTCAAGAATCCATGTTGGGAAAGAACTCATCTCTCCCAGGAATGAAGAGGCATTGGAGTAGCTGGACCATGGAGAGTGAGACAAGACTCAGTTAGGGTCAGATCTTCAGGGAACCCCAGTCAATGGTCACAGACCTGAATTTTGTTTAAAGCACAACATGAAGACTTTGAAATTTTTATGATCAGTTTGATGAATCTTTAAGACCGGTTTGTCTTGTTTAATTAGCTGATTTGAAGAGAGAGGAGACTGGAAAAATATTTAGTGCCCAGGCCCTGTATCTTTTTCCCCCTTGACTTAACAGTTCAGGATGTGTGGACAGGAACAGAATGTTTTATTCACTGAGGGGTGAGGCATGTCAGGTTGGCCATAGAGGTGAAGTGAAGCAGGGTAGTCAGGCTCTGGTGGCGGTTTTGAAAAGTGAGCCCTCTAGTGGAGATATCATACTTCTTGGGTCACACAGTCCATGGAAAGATCTGAACCACGGTGCTGGCCCAGGGAATACCCATCACAGGACTTTTGCAGCGAAGAAAGCTGCGGATGCCTTTTTAAAAGAAGGTATTTTAAAAATTTGATGAATAATTATTGTCTGTGCTGTGTCTTCATTGCTCTGCGTGGGCTTTCTCTTATTGCGGCGAGCTGGGGCCACTCATTGCAGAGCATGGGCCTGTCAATGCAGTGGCTTCTCTTGGTGTGGAGCTCAGCCTCAGTAGCTGTGGCACATGGGCTGAGCTGCTCTGAGGCATGTGGAATCTTCTTGGAGCAGGGCTCAAACCCGATGTCCCTTACATTGGCAGGCAAATCCTTTTACCCCTGGACCAGCAGGGAAGTCCTGCTGATGCCTTTAAAAAGTTTTTTAAAATTTATTTTTATTGGAGTATAATTGCTTTACAATGTTGTGTAAGTCTCTGCTGTACAATGGAGTGAATCAGGTATATGTATGCATGTGTATGTATATACAGTATATGTATAGATATTAAATATATGCCCTCCTTCATGGACCTGCCCCCCATCCCACTGCTCACGATCACCACAGAGCCCCAAGCTGAGCTCCCTACTCTATAAAGTAGGTTCCCACTAGCTGGTTGTTTTACACGTGGCATTACTGATGCCTTTTTAGACTACTAAAGTTGTAATTTTTATCAAGTATAAATGAACCGAGAGTCACAGACAACTCATAATCTCCACGTCAAACCCTCTTCCTCCAGCTCTTAAGTATCGCTTCCCCGTGGCTCCTTCTTACAAGTGATGAAGGTGTTCCCTTCTTTGGATTTGCACTTGTTGCTAAAAGTGTTCAGGCTGGAAAACAAAACAAAAGAACTAAGAAAAACAACTCCGTAAGTGCCTGCTTGACATTGAGCAAGGAATTAATTCACCTTTTCCAGATTTTACCTTATCTTAATGTCTTTCTAATCTCCTAGAAGGAACACAGCAATTTAGTCATGAGCTTGGAAGCACTAACCAGCATCTTCCCTGAGTAGATAGCTGTGTAATCGAATAAGCTTTCAAGGTGTCTCCTTGAAAGTTTTATTAAAAAGCTAGTACTAAAACCACTTCAAATGATGTCGCTTTTTATCATCCCACTAAACAATGAGAAAATCAAGGGGCGAGCTGCTTAAGACAGTGCTACTGGTGAATGATGCAGCTGGACCTGATGTCCTCAAGGTGAACAATTATAGAAAATGATGCATTTTTTTGCCAAAATGCAAACTTTTTTCCTCTTAAGGGCTATCACGTTTAATAAAAACATGTAATAACATGTAAAAATGTGGACATTTTCCTTTCGGTTATTTTATAATCAAGAATGATGTAAATTGATGGTTAATATAGTTAACTATTTTAATTCATTGTTAATTAAAACTATTAGTTAATAGTTAATAACTAATAGTTAACAGTTTTCATTCCAATCCCAAAGAAAGACAATGCCAAATAATGTTCAAACTACTGCACAACTGCACTTATCTTACATGCTGGCAAAGTAATGCTCAAAATTCTCCAAGCCAGCTTTCAACAGTATGTGAAAGGTGAACATCTATATGTTCAAGCTGGACTTAGGAAAGGCAGAAGAACCGGAGATCAAAACATCCACTGGATCACTGAAAAAGCAAGAGAGTTTCAGGAAAACATCTATTTTTGCTTTATTGATTATTCCAAAGCCTTTGACTGTGTGGATCACAACAAACTGTGGAAAATTCTTAGAGAAGGGAGTACTAGACCACCTGACCTGCCTCCTGAGAAATCTGTATGCAGGTCAAGAAGCAACAGTTAGAACTGGCCATGGAACAACAGACTGGTTCCAAATAGGGAAAGGAGTACATCAAGGCTGTATATTGTCACCCTGCTTATTTAACTTATATGCAGAGTACATCATGAGAAATGCTGGGCTGGATGAAGCACAAGCTGGAATCAAAATCCTGGGAGAAATATCAATAACCTCAGATATGCAGATGATACCACCCTTATGGCAGAAGGCAAAGAAGAACTAAAGAGCCTCTTGATAGTGAAAGAGAGTGAAAAAGTTGGCTTAAAACTCAGCATTCAGAAAACTAAGATCATGGCATCCAGTCCCATCACTTCATGGCAAATAGATGGGTAAACAATGGAAACAGTGACAGACTTTATTTTTTGGGACTCCAAAATCACTGCAGATGTTGAGTGCAGCCATGAAATTAAAAGATGCTTGCTCCTTGAAAGAAAAGCTATGACCAACCTATATAGCATTTTAAAAAGCAGAGACATTACTTTACCAACCAAGGTNATGGACTATACAGTCCATGGAATTTTCCATGGCCAAAATACTGGAGTGGGTAGCCTTTCCCTTCCCCAGGGGATTTTCCTAACCCAGGAATCAAATCCAGGTGTCCTGCATTTCAGGTAGATGCTTTACCAGCTGAGCCACAAGGGAAGCCCAAGAGTACCGGAGTGGGTACTCTATCACTTCTCCAGCAGATCTTCCCAACCCAGGAATTGAACTAGGGTCTCCTGCATCACAGACGGATTCTTTATCAACTGAGCTATCAGGGAAGCCACAAGGGTTTCGAGCCAGCCAGGAGCTGGAATTGGGAGCATTTAAAGGAGCTAGAAATTGGAGCTAAGCACTGCAGCTGGAATAATACTGATAGAAGAAGTAAAGCAAAGAGACATTCTTTTATTCCTTCCTCCTCTAGAATCTTCCATCAGCAGTTCCTAACAGGAAGCCAGTCCCTCAAAGGAGTCTATGAAATTTGGTGTGCAAAGTTCCAACTAGGATAACATACAAGTGTGGAAGGGTGGACAAAGAGCTGAGACACAGATGATAAATAACTGGCATCATAGTATCCTTTTCTGTGAATAAAGCATCTTGGATCCGTAGGAGCCGCATTAGGCTGGGCTAGGCTCTGAATTCTCTTGACTCCATGAAATTCTAGTAGATTTCTTTCTTTCTGGCATAAACTATTCCAGGCTCATCGTGTATGTTTTATGCTCAAGTCAGCTATTTCTGCAAAAATCCTGGGTTCCTTTTAGCAGAGAATGGTATGTAGAGACCAAAATCTAGGCATCATGGATATTTATCAAAACCCTCGTTTGAAGTAGGCATTTGCCTACAGTCCATATTAAGTTTATAATTGTAACCTACCACCAGTTCTGGAGTTTTGTTGGGGAGGGTTATCTTTGTTTTTGCTGTCAGTCCCTTGTGGAAAGAGATGATTCCAGGTCATTTTAAGTTTCCCTCATCATTGTGTTTTTGTTCCTAATTTCATGCTTAGTCTTCAAGCTTCTAATTTTTAAATCCTAAGCCATGTTCCAAGCTGACAATATAATTTGTAAGTTACTATTCTGTGAAAAATGTACATGAAGAGTGACATTAAAAATCAATCAAACAAAAAAAATCAATCAAACAGACAGTGAATACGTTTTGGTATATTTGTGTTATCAGTTGCTCACTATTGTGGGAAATAGATGTCACTTGAAGAGATCAAACATTAAGCCAATTTATGTCAAGAACTTGAATTGCAAAAGAAGTGTGGATTTTCTATATAATTATATGGTAGAAACACTGGTACATATAGTGAAATCCTGGTTAAAATTCTAGGTGTGCAGAGATATTCAGACTCACTCAGGAAATCTTGCTCAAGCACGACTCCTTTGCATCACCACCAGCCATGTTGAAACTCAGCATAATCTTTACTTCTCCTATAGACCCCATTGACATTAATGCATCTTTCAATTACACCCCAGCTGAAGGCACATAATTATTCAGTTGCTTCCATATAAAAGTTCCACGTAAAAGTGACATGCTTCATAATTGTAAATGTGAAAAATTCCATGAGATTGGTCAACCTGGGAAAATGATATTTTGATAATTGTGCTTGGATATGCCTGGGATAAAATCTTCTAAAAGCCAAGAAATTAAAATAAATACCTCCCAGATCTTTGAGTAAAGTGAATGCTCAGGAAGATACACTATGTTTATGTGTGGCTTTGGGAAGCCTCTAAGCTTCACTAAATACTCTATCTTGAGACATATTAGAGGATAGAAATTCTGATTATTTCCTTCTGCTGCAGTCCTAGTTCTAAGAGAAAGGAACATTCATAAACAGTTTGGCACTAAGATCCATCAAATTCCAAAGCATGCAAGTCTTCTGGTAAAAGCAGACTGGAGAACAGAATGGATCTGATGTCTTTCCCTACCTTCCCCAATATCTAGGTCTTAAACCATCCATCTACTTTTAACACTAGGAAACAAAATAGATTTTGAAAAATATCACCCAGTTTTGAAATTTCTCACTCAATGGAATTTTAAAATTCACACTCCAGGGAGGGTCACTGACAGATTTAACATCTCAAGGTTTTCATAGGAAGGGGCCAGAGAGGACTCCAGGAAGTGCTGACTGCTCGGAAACAGAGGAGTCCTGACTTTCTCACCTCCGAGATTGCCATCTATTGAATGAGAGAGTGGGTGGACCACCATTCCTTGCTTTTGAGACAAACTGAGTCTCCCAGTGGAAGGTAAGTCCTCCAGAACCTCACCAATCAGATTAGTCAGTCCCGCCCTGTAGGGAGAAGCGAAGAAAGGTCAGTTAGAGGTCAAAGCCATTTCTTTGGGGGCCAATAGGATGAAGAGCTTTGAGAATCTGAGGACAGAAGAATCAGAATTCTTCCCTTTTGAGAAGTGCCTTCAGGGGTGGGAGGCAAGGTGTTGTGAATGAGTGAAGGGAGCCGGGTAGGACATGAGGGACCTGGAGACACATACCCTGTCCAAAGCTCACAGTGCCTGTTCAAGGTCCGGCAGATGTCGGCATATGGGGACATGCGTTTGGAGCTGCTGGACCTCCTACATTTTCAAGAGAAGCCCCAAATGAGGCTTTTAAATAAAACTTTCCAATTTAGAAATTTTGACAAGTCATTCAACTTTTTAGAAGATGCTGTGCACACCAAACAGAACATCGCTGTGTGCTGGACTCAGCCCAGAACTCTCTGATGTCTGGTTTGCAGCATCATCAGCTGAGACAATGAAGCATCACTTCTTTTTAACCTCTGCTTAGGCTGGTGAAATGAGCCATACCACCAAGGATTAGAATAAGAAAAAGAAAAATCCCAAACTTATTGTATTATGGATATTTGTGTTTCCTAGCCTCTCTTCCACTCTGATTCAAGACAGACAATCTTGATGTTTATGTGTGGTTTTGGGAAGCCTCTAAGCTTCACTAAATACTCTATCTTGAGACATATTAGAGGATAGAAATTCTGATTATTTCCTTCTGCTGCAGTCCTAGTTCTAAGAGAAAGGAACATTCATAAACAGTTTGGCACTAAGATCCATCAAATTCCAAAGCATGCAAGTCTTCTGGTAAAAGCAGACTGGAGAACAGAATGGATCTGATGTCTTTCCCTACCTTCCCCAATATCTAGGTCTTAAACCATCCATCTACTTTTAACACTAGGAAACAAAATAGATTTTGAAAAATATCACCCAGTTTTGAAATTTCTCACTCAATGGAATTTTAAAATTCACACTCCAGGGAGGGTCACTGACAGATTTAACATCTCAAGGTTTTCATAGGAAGGGGCCAGAGAGGACTCCAGGAAGTGCTGACTGCTCGGAAACAGAGGAGTCCTGACTTTCTCACCTCCGAGATTGCCATCTATTGAATGAGAGAGTGGGTGGACCACCATTCCTTGCTTTTGAGACAAACTGAGTCTCCCAGTGGAAGGTAAGTCCTCCAGAACCTCACCAATCAGATTAGTCAGTCCCGCACTGTAGGGAGAAGCGAAGAAAGGTCAGTTAGAGGTCAAAGCCATTTCTTTGGGGGCCAATA